AAGGAACTGGTTCTCGTCGTAGACGGTTACGCAACTACCGCAAATGCAGTGAAGGAGATACGGAAGAATGTTTAGGCCTTAAACAGCACACGACCGGCGGTCAGCAGGCCGCCCACGCTGACCACAGCTAAAGGCATTCTCGGATATCCCTAAGCCACCCAGGAGATACGCTCAAAACACTAGAGCCACCGAAGAAAACGACGAAGAGCTCACCAGAAGTGTCGATCTCGCATTCGCACATGCGAATTTCTGCTTGCACAGAAGGCATGTAACATAAAGTTCATCTTGTACATCACCTTCAATTATTGAGCGAAGCGAGGGATTAGCCAAATAGCACTTTGGCCAGAAGGCATCCGTCTTTGGGCCTCGGTCTCGCTCCTGAAAATGAAACATGGCTCCAGGAAGTTATCTAGTTAAATTTCTCCAAGCATCCCCTACAGCAGTGAGAAGGGAATAGGGTTCCGTTCTGTAAAACCCTTGAATGACGATGCATGTGTGTTCTATTTTGTAGATCATTGTAATTTTAATTTTAGATGATGTGTGTTTATGTAAAAAGTAAGGGTTTAAAAGTAAGGGAATAAAAGAAAGGTGAATATACTAAACTGAATCTGGCACAGTGCGGCCAGAAACCAATTTTTTTTTTTTTTTTTTTAACTGAATGAATGTCTGAACCAGCGGATGAAGAGGTCGAAAACATGGATGAGAAGGTGAAATCAATTAACTAAAATTTTTCTCGAGCTTAGGAGGAGTGCTGCGGAAGGTACGATAAGCACGCATCCTGCCAGCAGTATAAGGAATGTGAAATCAATTTTTAAACGGAAACACGTTGCCCCATCGGTGATAAAACGCAACAAGTACGATTGGAGGGGGATGAGGGTTATCAAGGAAGAAGGAGCCAACCGCGAAGGGATGGAATGATTGGTAGATTCGAAGAGGAAAGATTGTTGTTTCCAGACAACCCAAGAAACTTCGCCAATTTTTTTAGAATGTAAAATACGAAAACTACAAATGGCAGAAGTCAGCTGTTTAAGGTTTCAAGATAAACAAAGCAGTTCGACATGGTTTGGCAGAAAAGGGTTGTGAATTACAAGTACTAATTAACATGGCACATAAAACGACGCGATGGGGTACGTCAACACTTTGTTAGAATGCAGTAACAAGGAGGAAAAGGAACAGATCAGCACTCACAAAAATTATTCTGCGTGAAAAATTTGTTCAAAATTTAGCTCTTTAACGATTAACCTCCATATGGTAATAAAAATGAGATGACAATTTAAGCAGTATACAGGCACCGTTTTAAGACGAACGAAAGTGGAAAGCAGCCGAGAATGGTAGCTAGCTAAGAACCGAAGCGAAATCATCAGTTTTCTGTGTTAAATTCTGTGAATTTTACGCAAGTTAAAATGCATTTTTGAAGACTGCGGCGCTCATAGCCTCAGCAGAGTAGTACTACCCATAGAAGAGCTTCTTTCCACAATCAACTTCAACCAAAAACTTCAGTGGACCCGTGAAAAAAATCTTTTTTTCGCATGGAACGGGGCAATAACACGCTGAAAACTACAACAGCTCACCCACATGCTTCTTACAATTACCATCATAAGCCAATGGCTCACACACACACACACGTCGCCTCACATCTTTCCGCTTGGTTTGCAAAAATATGAAAAATCTAACTTAACACTGTTATACTGGTGCCATGCAAGAACAGTAACACTTGCTGGATGCAAAGAAATGTTAGAAAGACAGTTTTCTGCACTTTCCCCCTTTCGCCTCCCCCCGCTCTCAAAAGACTTCGCGCAAGTGAAGCCAAGTTAGATGGACTGTACAGCTTTACTAATGACTGTACATAGGAAGGAGCAGTTCACCTTCTGCTGCTTGAAGTCCACGTCTCTGTAATCAATGATTATTCCACCCTCATACACATCTTCTACGAAATCAGTGTCGTTATCGTCAATAACCATCTGAAATACACCGGATGCTTTAGGGAAACCAAAGATCAAAAAAAAAAAAAACCGAGCTCCTCCCACCGTTTTAATCCTGCGGCTTCCTTACAAAGTCCTCAGCCTTATGTATTTCAAGTCTATCCACACCAGAAAGCCAATAACATAAAAAGTATATTTTTTCCCAGTGAAACACTTGTAGCGGCATTTTTTGGGAACAACGCACTGAAAAAAAAACCCCATTTTTTTGGCTAATTACATCTCAAATTATCAATGGAGGATTACGAACTTTATAAGTGGAAATGTGCGGGGCAAGAAAGGTTTAAAAAGCCAATTATTCGTCGCCTTCGCTGTAATCTTTGCGGGCTATTTAAGCTATAAGACGCAAAACACTGCAGCCCTTTTCCCAGAGCCTTGAACTTCATGTTGTTGAGGTTTCGCACTGCTTTGGTGTGCTGCTAGCGGTGGCGAGGCCTGCGAGGAAATTCCCAGAACAAAATCGAAAGAAACTGTTCATACGGTTTTGTGTGTGCCATCGAGGTCTGTGCGGCTGACGTTCAACAGTTCGCTCATTGTTGCTTGACCACTAAAATGAACGCTTGATGGCAAAGCTCACGCAATTGTACGTGAAACGACGAGACGCCCGTGTGCAGAGTATGTCACGACACCAGCAATTACAACATACAAAGCGCCGCTCTGAATTCTCATAAAATGTGAATCCTGGGAGGACAAGCACAGAAACAAACATATCCGAACAAAAATAGCCAATGCCCACCAGCTGATCACTGACCAGTGGGCCAGTATGTGCCGGCGGACAATGATTTGATGCAAATAAAACACCAAAATTTTGGATTCTAATTTCGTTTGCTTTAAAGTTTTAATAAAAGTTCGTAGCTAGAGGTTGAAACAGAGGCACGGAAACTGAGGGATGTTCGGGCATTCAAACGTCTCATGCGATTTAACCAGAAATTCGAAATTTCGTCCGGGTTTTTTGCTCGTTTTATTCCAAAATTACAAAATTCGGTCTATTTGAAGAGTTGGTTAGGCAGGATAAGGAGAGATTTGGGACTCGATTTCAGGCATTTGACAGTCCGAGAATTAGTCTCTCAAAACTTACATATCATAGTTTTCTTGACTGCCGAGTTCCAACTTATGTTTGGAGGTACAGTAAGGCGTGAGACCTCATTTTCGGTTTTCTTTCAAATGATCGGGGGGATAAGTGTACAAAATTGCCTGCTTACTTGATTTTCAAATTATAAAACTACCGTGGACTTGGATCCGAGAGCTTGAAGATCGATGTATAACAAAATTTGAGATAATATGTTCTTGAATTAGAGCCACCAGCTCGAGGCTACCCTGGTTCTTGGGTTGGCCGGACATAGGCATGGAATCACTGGTAATGACGAAGAGAAAGATGTGATCTGGGTTCTGGTTTGCAGCTTCGTGCCCGATCAAAGAGTGCAGTGCCGAGAATCCAGGTTTGTATTTTTCGTAGTTCCAGCGCTGGCCGCACTCACATACGACCGACATGATTCAGCCGAAATTTATTTCCAGATGCACAATGTGTAAAAAAGGGGGGGAAAAAAACCGAGCAAAACTGAGGAGCTGTAGAACCCGTAGGAGAAGAGAAAATAATGAAAGAACCCATCATCACTTTGTGGGCGCGGAGGAGTTAGTTCCCGTCGAAGTGCACAATCCATGAGAACGGGGCAGTCAATCCTGGAGAGCAGTGAAAGGCTACACGGAAAGTGTTGTGACTGGCGAATGCGCAACATTGTAATCAATCAACGAAACGATGGAAATACGAAGAAAAAAAACAAAACAAGCGCTGAACGAACGCCACAAATGTCCCGAACAGTGGTACTTCAAATGAAACCAATAAACGGGGATGGCGCGGGCGCCAAGCAAAACGCACAGTGCGGACGAGGACGAACCCAAGCACAGCCGGGCACCGGCAAAAGAGCGACAGTCCAGCTGGACAACGGTCACACTGAAAAATGCCCTCGCTTCCCCCGATGAGCCAACCAAAAGAACGCAGTAATG